GTTGAGGTTGTGATGGAGCTTAACTGCCTGGGTCTACACAAGAAGTCTGTAAAATACTTTGGTATTGCTAGGACTTTACCATCCACTTTTCAGAGACAAATTATGGGATCAGCTTCATTAACATAATCACTCTGCCCAATGTGAAATGGACGTAGGTAATGGGTGATACTGAGGATTTATCTTCTGAGAAGCAAAACCTCTAAGATATAATTTATCATCTGCTCTTGGCACTATAATTTCCTCTTTTATTAATAAATATGCAACATATCAAATAAAAAGAAAACATTTTACAGTTGAAAATATTTCAACTATTTCTGTGTGGAAGCAAAATAATCTTATACTGTATCTAATTGCCATAATATGTGGTCTTATCTGTTGTTTCATTATTAGAGATTAATTAGCTTAATTCTGTATATTATTTTGAAAAAGTAACATATGAAAATGTAACACTAACTAGTATTCCTGTTCAGTATTACATTCACGTGGCTGGCCATACTCATCAATGTGGAAAAGTTGCAGCTTTTCTGTCAGTTCACATTTTGAAAATTAAAGTCTGATTAAAAAAAGCATGTGCCTAATTTCAGCGCTTAGTCCCATTTTGTTCAAGGGATTTACTCATGTGCTTAAAATTAAACACATGTAAATATTTGCAGGACTAGGGAAGTAAATTAAATCCCAAACAATTCCCCCTGTCAATATGTCTCCAATAAAAAATAAAAAAAATCTTACATTCCTATTGACTCCTATGGGTACAGGTTATGTCTCTCTTTGTGTCTTGTATGTGATACCGTTCACATTGGCAGTGCTTAACAAAATTATGGTAACAAACTAATAACATACTAATTGCACTGCAGATTTCCCTGGTTTCGCATACAGCATTAAACATTTTGTTTAAAAAAATCTCAGAACATTTACAGGTTATATTTTTCATAGACACAGTCTAGATCTCACCAGGTGGAGAGGAAAAAAAACCCATCTTTAGAAATGCCTTTTAATTGGTGGAAATCGGAGCGTGGGTAGCAATCTTTAGATTGCCATAAACTAGTGATAGGATGCCGGGGTGGAATTCAGAGGTGTGGGTGGTAAGGGAAGAGGGTGGGAGAAGCCTACGTCCTTTAATGGGAATTACAAAGCTCTCTCTCCCAGTTCTGCTGCTGCAACATTTCTGGCAAAAGCAGGAAATTGCTTACTACTAAACTAGCTGGCGAGAGGGCAGGAGCTGATGTGTTATATTGGCGCAGCTCTGGCTTAGCTGTTGCCTTTCTCTCTTTCTCGTTCTTTTTGTTCTCCCCCCCCCCTCTGCCCCTTCTCCTTTTC